CTCTTACTAATATGTCTCAAAAGTATAATTTCATTCCTTTTTAGTTCCTCCCATTTTATACTGATTATTTTTATATTTCATCTTCTGCCATGGAGAGTTCTTTTATCTCCTTCTCTGGTACCTTCCCTTCGCTAGGCTTCTTACCGTCTAATGAATCTGAATTCAATTAGGTTAGAAACTTAGTTTTGATAATGTACTTGCCGTGTTCCAATGCTTACTCTTGGCATTACAGGTCATTAATTTTTACATGAATCTTCTCGTGGAAAGAAATAAAAAACAAGGCTATCCAGTACTTCATGCATTCAGTACTTTCTTCTATCCCAAATTAAAGTCTGGGGGTTACCAAGCAGTGAAAAGATGGACCAAAGGGGTCAATCTCTTTGAACAGGAACTAATTCTGGTGCCTATTCATCGGAAGGTACATTGGAGCCTGGTGGTGAGTTGAGAGGGTTAATTGTTGGAGTTTGGATAATGACCGTTTTCTTAAATAATGAAGGCTGCCCTTTTCTGTCCAGTGAAAAGTTCATACTATATGTTAAAGGCATACTCTGCAGAATCCCTTCTTGGTTCTTGAGTTGAACATCTTAGAAAGATAGAAGAGAGTTGCTTTTGCTGAGTAGCTTTCATTTTTAATAGGCAAGAGTTTTAGTACACGTGGGTCATTTATTAGTTTTGTTTACAAGATGGTACAGGTTAGTTGTAGAAAAGTAAAGGTATAAAGAAAAAAGCAAAAAAGAAATCTCATTACTCTGAGAGGACCACTGGTGTTTTGGGGATTGAGTTTCTAAGCCTTTCTATAGGAATAGAAGAGTCAAGTTTTATAGAAATGAAGCTCATCTGTGATGTTTATTAAAAATGTGTCTTAGAGATCCATTCATGTTGGTACATGTATTGACTTTTTTAAAAGATGCTTTTCTTTTTTAGAAATAAAATTCTCACTCCTGTTATGATTGTTTCTGTATGTTGCATTTTTCCATTATAGGTGATAGACCTAAGAAAAAGGTGTCTTAAATATCTGGATTCTATGGGACAGAAGGGCAACAGGATCTGTGAAATTCTCCTGTAAGTAAAGGCTAAAAAACTTCACTGTTATCTCATTATGCCCTTGGTAGGTGATCTGTCTTCAGTTTAACCCTGTAGTCTAATGTATAGTCAAGGCTATCTTCCCAGTTGTTCAGGACTTAACTTGAACCCACTCTTTTGTTTAAAAATAACCTAATATCTGATCTTAACTGAGAAGTCTTGTTTAGTATCATCATTGAAAGCAAGTTTGTCTTGTGTTATAATGTAAAATATATCTTATTAGAATCCTGGGATTTGAATGAGATTTATTTGGGATTGATAACATTATTCTGAATGATGCCCGGCCAGTGTGGCTCAGTGGTTGAGCATTGACCTATGAACCAGGAGGTCACAGTTTGATTCTGTCAGGGCACATGCCCGGGTTTCAGGCTCAATCCCCAGTGGGGGGCATGCAGGAGGCAGCTGGTCAATGATTCTCATCATTGATGTTTCTCTCTCTCCCTCTGCCTTCCTCTCTGAAATCAATAAAAACGTATTTTTTAATGTAGTATGTGGTCCATGTTCTGATTTTGTTTCCTTATCCAGGAAACCAATCAGGGTTCATGCATGTATTTTATGTCTTTAGTCGCCTTTAATTTAGAATAGTCTTCCTGCCTTTTTTTTGTTTTTCATTGGAATTGGCTTTGTTTCTTTTTTTAAAAGTCCAAGCCAATTGTTTTGTTTTATATCTGTCCTTAAGTGAGAAAAAAGGTTGTAAAATGAAGTTCATTTTTTAATAGAATAAAATGTATGTTATTGTTTTTGATTTGAGAGAGAGAGAGAGAGAGAAGAAAGAGAGAAAGAAACATAGGTGTTGGGAGAGAGAGGAAGAGAGAGAAACATTCGTGTAAGAGAGAAACATCGATGGGTAGCTTCCCAGATGCGCCCCAACCGGGGATCAAACCTGAAACCTTTTTGGTGTTTAGGACAAATATTCCAACCAACTGAGCAACCAGACTGGGACTAAAATGTATGTTTGAATTGTGTGTACGGGGTGGAGTAGAGGAATACACAGCAAACTTTTTTTGTTTGTTAACCCTCACATGAGGATGTTTCCCATTGCTTTTCAGAGAGAAGTATAAGGTAGGGCGGGGGGAGAGAGAGAGAGACAGATTGATGAGACATCCGACTGGTTTCCTCCTGCACGGTGGGGAGCAAACTCAGGTACATGCCCTTGACCAGGAATTGAACCCGAAACCTTTTGGTGTGCAGGCCGATGCTCTAATCATTTAGCAACACTAGCCAGGACGTGCACGATTTTTTAAAAAAGTTTTTATTGCTTTTAAAGAGAGAGGAAGGGAGAGGGAAAGAGAGAAACATCTATGAGAGAGAAACATCAACATTGATTGGATACCTCCTGCACACCCCGCACTGGGGATTGAGTCCACAACCTGGACTTGTACCTTAACCAGGAATCGAAACCCATGACCTCTTCATGCATGGGTGGATGCTCAACCACTGAGCTACACCAGCCAGCCACAGCAAACTATTAATAATAATTCTGAAGTGGTTATTATGGGTCTTTTCCATTTTACATTTATATGTTTTAACTTTTAGAAAATAAGCATGTACAATTTTTGTAAGCAGAAAAGAATCCCAAAATTAAAATTTAAGACCAAAAGTTAATGGAGATGGGATTGAGAATGGCATATCTGTTAAACATCACAAAGTCCTTTGTAATTATAATGTTGTCTTTAAGGGGTTTGTCAATACATTGTTTCTTGTTGTTTTTTAGTCAGTATTTGCAGGATGAAAGTAAGACCAAAAGAAATGTTGATCTGAATCTTTTAGAGTGGACGCACTACAGCATGAAGCCACATGTAAGTGCTGAGCATCTGTATTTCACGTACTTCGTTGCACTTACTGTCAGAGGCATATTACTTCTGTTTGACCTCCTCCCTCCCTCCCTCACACTCACCCTTAGGCATGCATTCTCCTGAAGTGTGTGTACATCTTATGAATGATCTACTTCTTAATCTTTTTAACCAAGATGTTTGCTTCTTAGCCTTTATCTTCTTGCTTAACTTATAAATGTTATCTACATGCTCATATGTCTCAAAAAATTGAAGAAAAAGCAGAAAAGAAAAACCTCAATAAATTCAGGTCAGCTACTTGTCTTGGTAGGCCCTAATAAAAATTTGAAGTTCTTGTTCAAAACTTATCTGGACATTTTATATATTTAGTTCTATGCTGTTTGTGAATGTGTTTGGGTCTTGCCAGGTTTGAATCTCATTCAGGGTTGAAAAAAGTGTACATCTTTGAGTCCTAATGGCTTCTTTTTAAAGTAAGGTACATTAATTCAGTTTTAGCCCTAGCCTGTGTCTACCTGGCCAAAAGCATTTTCGTTTCTAAGTTGAATAATTAGAAAGGTAAACTTTAAATTTTCCTGAGAAGAGCACAGATACAAGAAGTCTGTTAGGATGAAAACCGTGTACTGGGAAATGTAACAAAGAAAACAAGTTGTCTTTATTTGTATATTGGCAATTACAGTTCTTTCCAGTCTGTAGGAGATGCTGGGCTTGGGAGAAAAGTGAGAAGTACCTACCATCTGTATGGGTGGTGTGCATGTTTAAACAATTTTTCCACAATAATCATCTGTATTTCTTTGACTAAAAATTGAGCTGTTTTCATCTAGTATGTTTTCCAGCAGTGGAATCAGACTCTCTTATGCTCTTATTACCTTGTGCTCATTATAACAGAGCCAAAGTGTGTGAGGGGCTGGCCCAGATTAGTGCAACGGGGCTGGGGAATGTGTGAGTTTATTATGTCACTTGGGCTTATGATACCCTTTTGCTTCGGCACAGAACTGAGCAGCAAGGCAAGGTTTCCTAATTAGTTAGAGCCTACAAGAGGTTTTTTTTGTTTGTTTTGTTTTGTTTTTTAAATTCCTTTATTGATTAAGATATTACATATGTGTCCTTATCCCCACATTGCACACAAGTCCTTTGGTTGATCTCTCCCCCTAACCCCCACCCTCCCCTACTTTCCCTCTGAGGTTTGATGGTCTGATCGATGCTTCTCTGTCTCTGGATCTGTTTTTGTTTATCAGTTTATGTTGTTTCGAGAGGTTTGTGTTTTTTTTTTAATCCTCCCCTGCTTGCCAGAGCAGTAGTCTTATTCTCCTCTAGGGAGGAGAAGCTTAACTCTGCAATATTGAAGTAGGTTAGTTGTCTTGTAGACATATTCCTGATTGAGCCACACTTAGCCCTTTTCAGAATTTATAAATTTCTGAAATAATTCTGACTAGAATTCCTTTTCTTGGTAATAAACCTTCTTTCAATTTGGTTTCTTATAAAGTTTCTTCATGGAACTCTCACTTTCCTTTTCTATTTCCTTCTGAAAAACATTTTCTATGGGGTCACATACTCCATGTCATGGTTGGGATTTTAATGCCACATAAAGACTAATTGTGTGTGTGTGTGTGTGTGTGTCTATTGTGTATATGTTTAATATTTACCTTTATAATATTGTTTATCCACAGTAACATTTAGAAAAAGCCAAAGGAGTTTGTATTTAATGAAATTTTACCTCTTCTTCCCTTCCTTTTTTTGTGATTTTAGGAGATTCCTCAACAGTTGAATGGGAGTGATTGTGGAATGTTTACTTGTAAATATGCAGATTATATGTCTAGGGACAAACCTATCACATTTACTCAGGTGAGTGAAGACTCTTCCCCATCCACTTGTTACTAAACAAGATAAACTTAAAGCATGTTAGCAGTGCCTGGCGCACATTAAGATCTTAATAATGGTAGCTGTGCTGCTGTCATTGCTGTAAACTTGGCTGTAGCCCTACTCTTGCTAATATGAGGGTTTGTCACTGCATCTGCTCTCAGGTTTTTCCTAGTCTTCATGATCATTGGGTCAGTATGCTGTCTTTCACCTCCAGTGTTCACCAGTTTCTGAATATGACTGATATTTTTAGCTGAAGGAGGCAGGTCAGAATAGGTAACTGCGAGGGGAAATCAGGCCTTGTAAGCCACAGGTCTAAGCTGTAATTATGAATTCTGCTTTTCCCTTCTATTCTAGTTATTATTGGTTCCCAAAGCTCTGTATTTGAGTGAAAATTAAAATATGTTGGAAACGAGAATTTGTTTTTGTAATAGTGGATTCTCAACCTTTTTACAACTGAAGAAAACCCCCTTTAAAAATATTTTTCTTAACCACACCTCATTTTGATAGATGTTGTCTACCAAACTGTACTTATTGACTAGTAGGACTGATAACCCCATTCCAAGCTTTGGGGCAACATGAAAGAACCAGGGCTCTGATGTGGAATTAATACTGTTCCAGTCTTAAATAAAGGCACTTATTATGAGCTTCAGCACTTTTACTAAGAATAAATGTACAGTTTTTTACTACATGTTTTGAGCTATTTAAAATATACAAATCCAGAAAGAAAGAAAAAAAAAGAAAGAAAAGAAAATACAAATCCATGACTTAAGACTTTTTAGGTCTCTCCAGGTGGGAAATCACTAGTAAAGGGGTATATCCAGCTATTTATTTTTATTATTATTATTTTTAATATATTTTATTGATTTTTTTACAGAGAGGAAGGGGGAGGGATAGAGAGTTAGAAACATCGATCAGCTGCCTCCTGCACACCCTCCACTGGGGATGTGCCTGCAGCCAAGGTACATGCCCTTGACCAGACTCGAACCTGGGACCCTTCAGTCCGCAGGCTGACGCTCTATCCACTGAGCCAAACCGGTCAGGGCTATCTGGCTATTTATAATGAGACACCAGGAATACCGCAAGGGCGTAACTTCAGATTTCATTAAAAGAGGACTAGTTGAGTTACAGATGATTTTGGATTTACCTTGTATGTTGCTGCTTTGAAAATTGCCCCATGTAGTGATTATCAGTTAAAGCAAAATAACATTAAGCAAAGAATCTCATTTTTTGATGCTTTTAAATAACAAGTGGTTATTTGTTCTGAGCCTAATGACATGAGATTTGAAGGGGAGAAGTTGCTGTTTGAACAGTATTGGCAATGCACAACATTTGGTAGAGCATAAAGAAATCTGTTGAGTTGTTTTTCTTTACTTAGAGTTTATGTTTTTCTCAGAGAGCAGAATATATTAATTTTAGAATGTTTTGAAAAAAAGATATAAGTAGAAAAAGTTATCTATTGTGCCACTTCTTGGATATTCCCATTTTTGGTACACATTTTTGTTATGAGGTTGTTGGACTTTACTGTATAATTCTGCAAATTTTCCTTAACATGTAAAAATACTAATGATACATCCTAATATATAAAAACCCAGGGTCCGTAACATCCAAAACGACCAAAGGCTCGACCAACAGGAAGTCAGTCACTGCCACCGCTGTGGGCGCCCCGACCCAGCACTGACTGCTGAGGGGGCTGCAGATCAGGCCCAAAGAGAGGCCTGGAGAGAGAAGCAGGATCTAATCCATAGCCTCCGTGGCAGCAGTTGATGAACACTTGCCTCTCTCTCTCTCTCTGTCTCTCTCTCTCTCTCTCTCTCTCTCTCACTCTGGGCCTGGCCAGCAGCCGTGGCCGCGACTCTCTTTCCCTTGGGCCTCTGCTGGGGCTGCTGATCAGCCCCACCTCTCTGATCAGGCCCATTGATAGGCCTGGAGATACTGACTGGCATAGAAACCGACCAATCAGAACCTAATCTGGGTGAACTGTGAAGGCAGAACCTAAGGTGGGGGGCTGATGAGGGGTTTTAAGGGCAACAGCTGTTTGGTGTAAGGTGTAAGAAAGCAGTTCAATTTTTTAATGACCGGTTTGGCAGTATAGTGCATACGACTGGTTATCAGTCCAGACATAGGGGTTATGTATTTTTGTCTGCCAAAAGCATCTCCTCCTGATGAAAAAGGCTCCCCCCCCATTTAAGCAACCCTAGCCTATATAATCTATCTATACTAATAAAAGGGTAATTTGCTAATTAGACCAGGTAAACTGGTCATCTTCCAGATGTCCGACTTCCTTCTGGACAAAGTCATGGTGGTGGGGGCAGAGGCAGTTAGGGACCATCAGACTGGCAGAGGAGAGCAGTTAGGGGCGAGATCAGGCTGGCAGGGGGTTAGGAGCAATCAGGCCAGCAGAGGAGGGCAGTTGGGGGAAAACTGGCCTGCAGGGGAGGGCAGTTGGGGGCGACCAGGCCTGCAGGGGAGGGTAGTTGGGGGTTACCAGGGCGGCAGGGAAGG